CTCGTTTTAAAGAAAAAAAAAAAAAGATGAAGTAAACAGTAAGAAAAAAAACAGGTAATTCTATGTAGATAAACGTTCTACGAGTCAAAAAAGAAAAGATAAAAAGAGAAAACAAACAAAAACAAAAATAATTTTTACTATACTTTCTTCCTATCTTATTTTTCAGTGAGATAATAACAACAATTTCATGAATGAAGTCTCAAGCTGAAGTATTTGGAAGGGGAAATTTTATAACCAGTTTTAGGTAATGTGAATTTACTTTTTTTTTTAAATGGACGGGAAACGAAGGGCATGTTTTCCCGCCATTTACGGAGCATAATGGCATAGAGCATAATTTTCAATATCGAACGTTTCGTCTAAAAAAAATAATTTTCTCAGTTTCCCTTTCTTACATCAGCTAAAGTTGTGTTGATGAATCGTAATGGCATTTTTTTCAATTTACTTTTTAGGCTGCATCTAATTTCATTGAATACTTATATCACTTTTCTGTTCTGTTGTGATTTTATTTCACTTGTATCATATTTTGATTGAACAGCCTTCTAGTAGGTATAAGTAAGTAATAATGACAAGAAAATAAATGTAGTAGGTATAAACCAAAAATAGGATATAAACATGAGCTTTTAAAACCTCCCCTTTTATCAACTATTCCAGGGGCTAACAATAGGAATTGTGGCGAGGTACAGTACACTTGATACGGGGCTACTTCTCGTCCTTTTGTCGTTTAATGGTTTATTTTTTTCTTGTTTTGAAGTAGATGGGCAATGTCGATTACCAGATATCAGTGGTAAAAGGAACAGCCATTTGGTTTCTGACAGCATTAAGTAAAGATGCTGTAATACCTGTTACTGCTGAAAATCACTTCATGTTAATTCTTCATTGTTTTGTGTGTATTCTTAAATTATGGACGTCATGCGAGATGTTGGAAACAGTCCCTTGGAAATAATATATTATTCTAAAGAAATTCTGTAACAATTGACAATTTTTCAATAAGTGAAATGAAAATACCTGATTAGCTAGGGATTGTACCACAGATAATTACTATATATTATTACTATATATACACACAACTCAATATATATCACATATATATCAAACCAAAACACACTATGTCTACATCATCGTTAACATTTGAGTTTTTGCAGCAAGGAGTGTGGGTGTGTGAAGGGGTAAAGGAGAGGGTTGGTTATTTATTATTCCCAGCCACTTGGGACTTCAGCTGACGATGCGGCAAACTTTAGGCAATCCGTCATTCAACCCTTTAGTCACTGGACAGCACGTTCCTCTTGGAATTCGACCGTTTGGCGGTGCGCATCCTCCCTCCCATCATCTGCTTCATGGCCATGGAGTCGTTGAGGTCCAGGCGGCCGTCGAAGTAAGTGTCGCCGATGTACTTCATGAGCTGAGATACCTACACGGGGAGAGACAGGTTTCAGTTAGTGCTGTTACTTCGTCTTTATAATTGGGTTTAGGCATGTATTTCTAATGGATAATAACATGTATGGGAAGTATGCGTAATGATAGATAAAAAAAAAAGAAATGGAACATCAAATTGATCATTTTCATTGATAAATTCCACTCGTCCAAATCTCCACACGGTTCGGTCCAAGGAGTGGATACTAACCTTATCTGGCAGTTCATGTGAGTCACCGTAGGTTGGTTGGGATTTCATTTTGGCTGCCTTTTCTTCGACGTCGGGGGTGACGTGGTGCGGCGGTCGCTCTTCCACTCGCAATGTGCGTCTCACGGACGACCACACGAAGTCAATGACGTCGTATTTGTTCTCGCGGTTTGCGAGGTCTACCTTGACGTCGTTGAAGGCCTTCAGGATGATAGTAAGCATGATGTTGATGAGAATCATGCTGTTTACCACGGAGAACACAAAGAACAAGATAGGAGACATGGGATTGGCAATGTTCATCGCCTCGAAATTGAACTTGCCGAGCATCATCTTGAAGCAGGTCTCGATGGCGGCGATAAATCTCGCGAACTCCTCGAGCTGCATGAGGAACATGAAGTAGAAGAGGCAACTGAAAGCGAAGAAAATGATCCCGAAAGCAACGAAGAAGATGGAGAGTTCATCCCAGCAGAGTCTGATGGTGAGAGCCAAGACGTCCATCCTCTTGTTGAATTGCAAGAGCTTGATGAGCTTTAGGGTCGAGAAGAAGCAGATGATGGCAACCAGGTACAGATAGAACTGATCCATGAGAGCAGCGGAGTCGAGCCTGATGTAACCATTGCCATACGTTTGTTCAAAGATTTCTAGGGCTTCTTGTGTAAGGAGATACCTGTAGACATAAACCCCGACAGTAGCGTAGGAAGTTATCAGAATGCAGATCTCGGCGATGTTCCAGTAGGATGCAAAATAGGAGCACTTTTGCTTCTTGATTTTCCATAGTTCTTTCAAGGTGAAGATGACGGTACACACGACGAAGATAATCTCTGAGAGGGTAACGATGTACCCTGTGGCTCCGCTTTTGGGGAGGAGCCTTATAGGTTCGAA